CCCCCCCCCCTGCTCAAGCAGGAGAACCTATAACATTTCAGACAGGTGGCTGTCCAATCTCTTCTTTAAAATTTCCAGTGATGAAGCACCAACAATTTCTGAAGGCGTTCCACTGATTAACTGTTCTTACTGTTAGGAAATTTCTCCTTAGTTCCAGGTTGTTTCTCTACCTGATTACTTTCCATCCGTTGCTCCTTGTCCTGCCTTCAGGTGCACTGGAGAATAATTTGACCCCCTCTTCTTTCTGGCAGCACCTCAAATACTGGAACATTGCTGTCATGTCTTCCCTAGTCCTTCTTTTCTCTAGACTGGCCATATCTAATTCCTGCAACCGTTCTTCATAAGTTTATGTCTCTAGGCGCTTAATCGTCTTTGTTGCTCTTCTTTGCACTTTTTCCCAAAATCTCAATCAGCGCAAAGGGAGCATTCAGGCTGCAACTGGGTCCAGTTTCTTTGTTAGCTTACTGGGGTCATGGAGAGCAAGTTGGGCAGTCATACAAATTTCCATAAATAAGTACATTTCCAGAGATGAGCTTTTAGGGCAAAAGTGGGAGGGTCCCAGGGTCCTCCTTTGTAAGTGACAAAACGGCTAAAGGAATGCTCCTACCTTGGCAGCTTGACGATGGGTGGACTTTGCACTGAATGGAATTGGGTAAGATGAACGGCTTTATACATTGGAGTAATAAAATAAAGGAATAAGTCAGGGATCTTCAACCTTGGCCCTTTTATGACTGGTGGACTTCAACTCCCAGAATTCCTCAGCCAGGCACACTGAATAAGGTAAGAGTTACCACTGGCAAGATGGGCGGCTAATAAATTTTACAAACACATTTCTTAGATCTCTTCTAAATCTTAATAAGGATACAGGTAGTCCTTGATTTATGACCACAATTGAGCCCAAAATTTCTGATGCTAAGCTGTTAAGTGAGTTTTGACCCATTTTATGACCTTTCTTGCCAGAGTTGTTAAGTGAATCACTGCAGTTGTTAAGTTGGTAACACGGTTGTTAAGTGAATCTGGCTTCTCCCCCCCATTGACTTTGCTGGTGAGCAGGTCGCAAAAAGGGATCACGTGACCCCCCTGGGACGCTGTGCGACCGTCATAAATATGAGTCGGTCGCCAACTGTCTGAATTTTGTCCATGTGAGTGTGAGGATGCTACCCTGGTTGTTAAGTGTGAAAAACGGTCACGAGTGGCTTTTTTGAGGGCCGTTGTAACTTTGAACCGTCACTAGATGAACTGTTGTAAATCGAGGACTACGTGTTTTGTTAGGGGTTTTATATTTTAGAGCAGGCTTTTATGTAATAGTTACTGTGATTTTTATTATTGCCTGTTCACTGCCCTGAGTCCCGTAAGGGAGATAGGGCGGTATATAAATAATAATAATAATAATAATAATAATAATAATAATAATAATAATAATAATAATGATAATAATGATAATAATAATAATAATAATAATAATAATAATAATAATAATAATAATAATAATAATAATAATAATAATAATAATAATAATAATAATAATAATAATAATAATAAAATAAATGAAAGAAACAATTCTGGGAGCTGAAGCTGCCCAGGTCGAGAGTCCCGGGCTGGGAGCCGGAACCTGCTTCTGGCCGGCCTGCCGCTGTCCAAGGGGCGGCGCGGCCGCCTAGCCGATCTAGACTGGGCCGGAGGGGCCGCGGGGCCGGAGCAGCTCCCAGGCGCGCCCGAAGCCGCTTCCCTCCATCCAGGCGGAAGCAAGAAGGGCCCGCTGACCGGTGCCGGGCATCTGTGCCGGGCGGGCGCCGCGGCGGAAGGGCGAGGACGCCTCTGGGCTCCGGGAAGCCGAGCCGGCCTCGGCGCCGGAGCCAGCCGGGCAGGAAGGCCGACTGCCGGGGAGGCCCGGGCGCTGCTCCTGCCCGCCGGCTCCTCCGTGGCCGGAGCGGCGGTGGCGAGAGGAGGCGGAGCGGGGCGGCGCTTGGCCGGGCGGGCGGGCGGCGCCGTCCCCGGGGAGCCGCCACGTTCGTCGCCGGAGCCCGAGGAGGGCGGGACGGTCCTCGCAGGTGAGCCGCCCTGCCGGGAAGCGGCCAGCGGCTCCTCCGGGCAGGCGACGGGCCGGAGCTCCCCCGCGGCCGCCGCCTGGCCCCGAGCGGAGGGCGCCGGCCGGGGAGGCCACCGGGCTCTCGGGCAGAAGGGGCGCGCCGGGCCGGGGGTGGCGCCTTCGCCCTCCAAAGCCCCCCGCAGGGCGGCGAGGGAGCCCCCCCTCCCGGGAAGCGCGGGGAGCCCCGTAGCGGGGCACGAACGGCTGGGGGCGCAAAAGCCCCCCCCCACAGCTGGAGCCGGCGGGGGGGAGGGCCTCGCGCCCCCTCTCTCCCCCCCCTCCGTCCCCCCCCCCAGGATGGCCTCCCGCCTCCTGCACCGCCTGCGGCACGCGCTGGCCGGGCCCGGGGAGGCCGAGGGGGCGGCCGGCGGGGCGGAGGACTGTCCGGAGAGCTCGGAGCTGGAGGACGACACGGAGGGGCTGGCCACGCGCCTCAGCGGCACCCTCAGCTTCAGCAGCAACGAGGAGGAGGAGGAGGAGGAGGAGGAGGGCGGCGAGCGGGGAGCCCGGCTGGGGGGCCCCGGAGGGAAGCTGGGGGCCCTCCTGGACCTGGACCTGCCCGGAGATGCGGCGGAGATCGCAGGTACAGCCTGAAACCGGGGCGGGGCGAGGGGGGGCTGAGAAAGCCAGGTGAGCTGCCGACGGTGTCCGTCCAATTCTGGGCCAGCTGAGCCGGGGGGGGGGGGGGGGGTTCAGATAAGCAGCGAGACCCTGCGCCGTAATTCCGGCACCCCGAATTTATGTAAAATTCCCCCCCCCGGTTTAGAAGAGAAGATTCTAGCAGCTTCCCCCCCCCCCCCGGTGCTGAACCTGGGCTCCAGTAGAAATGCAATTCAATTCAGAATAGAGCAGGCAGGGACCTTGGAGGTCTTCTAGTCCAACCCCCCCCCTCCACTAAAGCAGGAGACCCTATACCAGGGGTAGGCAGTCTTGGCTTTTATGACTGTTGGACTTCAACTCCCAGAATTCCTCAGCCAGCATGGGGGAACTGTGGCCCCTTCATGACTCGTGGACTTCAACTCCCAGAATTCCTGAGCCAGCATGGAAACCTCTCCCTTTCCCCTCAGCATGGCCAACTGAGGAATTCTGGGAGTTGAAGTCCACCAGTCATAAAAGAGCCAAGGTTGCCTACCCCTGACCTATACCATTTCAGACAAATGGCTGTTCAGTCTCTTGTTAAAAACCTTCAGTTATGAAACAGCCACCTCTGGTGGCAAGTAGTTCCACTGGTTGATTGTCCTCCCTGATAGGAAGTTTCAGTTCTGGATAAGACCCTCCTCCCACCCATGTATTGGGGAGGGAAGGTCCTTGGAGTAGGGGCCCCTGGCTCCTCTGCCAGCCCAGGGGCTCCACAGGCCAAGCCCCCTGCCTCAGCCCTGGCTCTGCCCCCTTTCTCCTCTCCCCCTCCGGTGCAGAGTCCGACTCCCCCCTGGCCGAGCAACGGGGCAGCCACCTGCTCACCCGGCAGCTGCAGGAGCTCTGGCAGAAATCCCGGGGGAGCCTCGTGCCCCAGCGCCTCCTGTTCGAGGTCACCAACGCCAGCGTGGTCAGCGAGCGCAGCTCCAAGCACGTGGTGAGTGGGGGGGGCAAAAAAGGCAGACCGGGAAGGAGCCCTCTGCCCCTGCTTGCAAGGAAGTGGGTGCGTCCCCCCAAGGAAGGCCAGCCCAAAGCAAGATGTAGCCCCCCCCCAGTATTGGAAGGACGGAGCCCACCCTGCTCCCCACAGCCTCCGCAGTCTCTTCTCCCCAAAGGGGGCTGCCGATACCTTCCAGCGGGGTTGGGGGGGGGCGAGGGTGGCAGCTGGCCTTGACTGTTGTCTCTTTCCTTCTGCTGCTGCGTTGGGCACTCCGGGCTCAGAAGAGCCTCAGGTAATTCTCTCCCAGGGGCAGCAGCTGCCCCCGTGTCTCTGCCACTCGAGGGGACGGTGGGAGGGTCGACAGGGAAGTGGGGGGTCAGGCTGGGCAGCTGCTTCTCGCTCCCCCTCACCCGTTTCTCCGTTGGCACCCAGCTCTACACCATCTACTTGATCCGGGCAGGGCAGTTTGACCACATGCCCGCCGCCGTCGCCCGCTGCTATTCCGACTTCGAGCGGCTGAATCGACGCCTGCGCCGCCACTTCAGCAGAGACATGGCGGGGCTCTCTTTCCCCCGGAAACAGCTGTGGCACAACTTCACCCCCGCGACCATCGCCAAGCGCAGCCGGGCGTTTGAACAGTTTCTCTCCCACCTGCACGCCTCGCCGGAGATCCGCCGTTCGGCCACGTTCCTGGAATTCTTCTTCCTGGACAGCCTGCAGGGGGCGCAGCGCTTGACCGGCAAGGGCCTCTACCCCGAGGCCTTGGCCGCCTGGGTGACCTCGCGGCGGCTGCAGGAGAAACTGGGCGCCTGCCGCTCGGGGCATTACTTGCTGACTCTGGCCGGCCTGACCGTCTGCCATCAAGAGCTGGAGCAGTGGGCAGAGGCCTACGGGGCGTGCCAGCAGGCCCTGCAGCAGCTGGAGAGCCAGCAGAGCCACCCCCTCCTGGCTGCCCTCCTGCAGACCCACGTCCACCTGGCCTGGGGGCTGGGCAAGGACAAGCAGCAGGCGGAGACCCGCCTGCGCGGCCTGCAGGAAGCCCGGGAGGGCAAACAGCCGCCACCCACTTTGAAGGAGCTGCTGCTCAAACAGCCGCTGCCCTGACCCCCTGCCAAGGCAGGGGAGCTGCCGGGATGTGGGGGCACCGGATGAGCAGCAGAGGGAGATCCGCCAGGCGGGCAAGAGCCAGCGCCGTCTTACATACACACTCCTGCGAGCTCTGCATCTCTGCTTGCCCGGCAGCGGGACGAGGCTGGCTGGCCTGTTCAGAAGAGGCTTCTGGGGTGCAGACCTACAAACCTCCACCCCCAAATCCTTCCGAGAAAGCGGGGTGATGACGACTGCCGTTGGGGAGACAAGAACATCTGCAAGGCTGGCTGGCAGAGGGGTGCGTGGAGGGCCCTCCTAAGAGGCTTCCCCCACAAACTGTTCTTGCTAGAGGGGGGAGGCCGTTAGGCACTGGCGGGACTCCTGGCTGCAGCCTGGGTGGTGGGCAGGCTCCCCCCTCCAGTATCGATGTGTGTGGAGCCACCAGGAACCTCCTGCTCCTCCCCCCCTTCAGAAACCAGAGCCGCGTGGGACACTTTCCTCCCTTTATTAACGGTCGGGGGACAGAAGCCCGTCTCCAATAAATTAATATGTCCAAGGAAAGTGGGGTGCCAGTGCTTCCATCTGTAAGTGCCACCTCCAGGGGTTACGGGGGTCCTGGTAAGCGACCGCCACCCATCGAAGACTCAATCAGTGTAAGAGGGGGGGGCTCCCGTTAGGAGAGAAGTAGCCAAGGGAAGAAAGAAAAGCCAGTGCTACAACTTGCTGGTGCCCCGCTGCTCTTCCTCCAATCGAATTACTCCTTCCTGGGCACAGCTGACCGCCAACACGCCATCTCTGCGCCACAGGCGGCCCTGCACCAGGCCCCGGCTGCCACCTGTGGGGGAGGGGAGGGGAGAACGGAGGAGCTGCAGCCGGCCGCTTGCAGTGTCTCCTGTCCCACCCCTACCCCCCATTGCAGGCTGGCAGCGTCGCTTACCGGCCCAGGGGCTCTCGCACTCGTACAGCATCCACTGATCGGCTCTGAAGGGCGCGTGGAACCACATGGTGTGATCGAGCGAGACCATGAGCTTGACTTTGTGGTGCTGGTGCGGCAACAGGGCCGTCCGCAGGAAGGCGTAGTCGGAGATGTAGGCAGCCACGCAGCAGTGCAGCTTCATGTCGCATTCGCCTGGAACGGGAGAGGCCGAGGCTCAGCGTCGCCCGGAGGCCAAGCAAGGTAGCGGGTCTGGGGGAGAGATTGGGTTGGGCTGCAGGAAGAGGCAAGGCGGCCCTGTTCAACGGGTCAAGCGCTCTTCTGCCCGGGGTGTGTGCGTGTGTGTGTGTGTGTGTGTTTGGCATACATTTCCTGCAGTATTTGTAATCATTCCAACTCGAGCAGCTCACATTAATTAAAAATCGGTAAACCTCCCAAAGCTGTAGGTGTTACAAAACCGCCTGCCACACACAGAAAACATGGGACAAAGAGCACGATGCCAGTCAGACTGCCACCCTGAAACAACGGGGGGGGAGGGCAGAGGGAGGGAGGAGATTCCATGAGGGTGAGGCAGCTGCTGGGCTCTCGGTTCTCTGGAATGGGCCTTGGGGGGCAGGCAGGTTCGTTCTGAAGGAGACGGTCCCTAAGGCCAGCCCCATAACCAGCGCTTGTGAGGGTGAAAGTCCGTTCTCCCGAGCTTGGGGATTGGTTTCCGAACGTTTCATTACCAGTCTAGGTAACATGTTCAGCAGCGCTGAAGAAATTACCTAACCTGGTAACAAAATGTTCAGAATCCAGCCCCCCAAGCTCGGAGAACGGACCTTCTCCCTCATCCTACACCCGAGCCGCAGATATTCGCCACTATTGCGAACGGACTTGTACTCAGAACCCCACTCGTGCCAACACAATGCCTGAAGGGGTGGCGCTTTCCTTCCAAGGAGATTCTCTCCTGCCAAAAGGAATGGCCCCAACTGCCCCCCCCAGCAGAAAACAAGAGATGGGCTCCGAGGGGCAGGCCTTCTGAAGGGGATGGGCAGGGAGACCCACGCTGAAAGGGCGTCCCCACACCACGAGAACCTTCCAAGGGCCCAAAGGAGGGGGCCTGCTCTCTCCAGTTAACGCTTCCCTCTCCTGGGCACGATGAAGCCGCTCCTGGAAAGCAGGCTGGGGGGTCAGGGTGCAGGTCTTACCGATGTAGCCCTTGGCACGCACCCAGACGAGCTGCTTGGGTTCCTGGGAGTTCTGGTGGAAAACGTCAGGTGGGTTCACCGGCTTCATCTCAATCGGAACTTCCTGGGCCAGTATCCCCTGGAGTCCCTGCCGGTATCTCTCTAGGAGGTTGGGGTCCCTTTGAAAAAAAGGCAGATGCCAGCGTGAGACGCTGGAAATCACGGAGGCCGTGCCGGTGTGGTCCTTTCTGCCAAAGGCACAGAAAAGTGGAAGCAGCATGGAGACTTCGCCCCGGTGTGAGCTGCATCAGCCTTGGCTCAACACACCGGTGGCACCTCCGAGATCCCGGATTCTGCCAGGACCAAGCCGTGAACGTAGCTTGATGTGTTCCCAGCTGCCAGAGATACAAGAGTCTCCCGTGAATTTCACGCAGGCAGAGCTAAACTCTCTTCAGGCCGGATCCTGCATTCCAAGATGGAGCAGCAGGGAGCACCTCCCACTGATGTTGGCTCTCTCCACACGCCAGGTGTGTCGTCGGCTCAGCGCTACCGCAAGCCCTGCTCCTCCCGGCCACTCACCGCAGGTACTTCTGGATCAGCTGCTCCTGCGTCAGCAGCTCCTCCGGGAGAGGCACAGCCGGCATTTGGAACTGGTGCTGCACCGGACTGGGCTGCCCTCGTTGGAAGGAAGCCTGGCATATGAAGATGGCCTTCCCGTGCTGGATGGCCTTGACCGAGCGCACCGAGAAGCTCCTCCCGGTGCGGGTGCGCTCCACCTGGTACAGAACTGGCACGGTGGGGTCCCCTGGAAGGCAGAAGAGCCTGCCCTGAGACCCCAGTTGTCCCAGTGAGGAGACACCCCGGTTGCTGTGAGAATAACCCTAACCCCAACACCCCCCCCCTGCCCATTACAGCTGCCCGCTTCACATCCCGGAAAAGAGCTGCCCAATCTTTTCTTAAAAATTTCCAGCAACAGGGCAGCGGCTTCAGGAGGTGGGTGGTTCCACCGCTTCACGGTCTCACGATCAGGAAATTCTGCCCTATTTCTTTCTGAATATCATACTAATGTATTACTATCAGCGTTATCTTCGTCACTGTTAATTTTCAGAGCAGCTCAGCCATATTTATTTCTGCAAATAAATTTACATATAAAATTAGCAGAGCAGCTCCCTCCGCCAGGACAAGACAGGCATATTTAATTATTTTATTTTATTTCTTTTCTTAGTTACTTGCTTACTTACAAGCAGAGCAGCTCCCAGCATCCTCCTTTAAGTCTGACGGCCACCCCGGCTGGGCCTGGTGCACCTCCCACCACAGAAGCTGCTAATTACCTGCCCTCACAAAGTAGCAATGGAGTGAATGGACTTCCAGGTCATCCGTCACGGCCTTTGCTGCTGCCACCAGTGCCTGGCCCACTATCTGCCCTCCAAAAAGACGCTTCGTGACGGGCACCCAGTAGTGCCTTCCCCTACGGAGAAAAGAGGAGGAGAGTTATGGCTGGCAATGGCTGCCTCCTGGGGGGTGCTGCAGGCCAGGGAGGCGAGTGGCTGCCCCCAAGCTTCCCTCCCCAGGGCCAGGATCCAAGGAGCAGCCCTCCATCGGGCCAGGGCCTGCGCGGCAACGTTCACAGCCCGGGACCAGCTTCTCCTACGATTCAACTGGCTGCTTCCCCCCACCCTCAAACTCTAAATAGGGAAGCATTTTGCCAGGGCGGCTTTCACGGCTGCAGGCAGGCAGAAACTCGGCCGGTCGAGCCCCCAAGGTGCTGTTTCAAAAGGGAACTGAACTTTTTCTAAAAGGGACTTTCTAAAGAAAATCCGGTTTGGAAAAACACCTTTGGGGCAGCCGTCACCCGGATGACCGAGAGTCTCCATCGACGTTCAACAGGTCGAGCCGCCTCCGCCTCCTCCCAGCTCAGCGCTTCCCAGGCTCGGTCGCTTGAAGAGGGGCGGACTTCAACTCCCAGAATTCCCCAGCCAGCATTCGCTGGCTGGGGAATTCTAGGAGTTGAAGTCCGCCCCTCTTCAAGCGACCGAGCCTGGGAAGCGCTGCCCCGGCCCCTTCCGCGAGAAGCCCCGCCGGCTGCGGCCCCGCTGACCGGAAGAGGTCCACGTCCAGCGGCTCCAGGTGCAGGACGCTGGTCAGCAGGACGCTGCGCAGGTCCCCCGGCGTCTCCGGCGACTGCTCGGACTCGGGCGCCCGGCCGGCTCCGCTGGAGGACGCCATCTTGGACAGTCAGGTGACCGGACCGGAAGCGCTTTCCCCTCAGTCGGCTTTCACGCTTCTGCTTCCGGCCGATCTAGGAAGTTCGTCCAAACGCCTCTCACTGAGTTTTGTCGCTTAGGGGAGACGCTGGTGGCGTCTTTCTTTCTTTCTTTCTTTCTTTCTTTCTTTCTTTCTTTCTTTCTTTCTTTCTTCCTTTTTCTTTACTTCTTTTCTTTTTCTTTCTTCTGTTCCTTTTCTTCCTTCTGTTCTTTCTTTCTTCTTTCTCCTTCCTTCCTCCCTCCCTCTTTTTTCTCTCTCTCCCTTCCTTCTATTCTTTTCTTTCCTCCCTTCCGTTCTTTTTCTTTCTTTCTTTCTTCCTTTCTTTTTCTTTACTTCTTTTCTTTTTCTTTCTTCTGTTTTTTTCTTTCCTTCTGTTCCTTTTCTTCTTTCTCTTTCCTCCCTCCCTCTTTCTTTTTTGTCTCCCTTCTGTTCTTTTCTCTTTCTTTCCTCCCTTCCGTTCTTTCTTTTTCTTTCTTTCATTTCTTTTTCTCTCCCTCCCTCCTCATTCTTTTTTCTTCCTTCTTTCCTTCTCTTTGTCTCTTTTTATTTTCATTGTCTTTTTCTTTTCCTTTCTTTCCTACTTTCCCTTTTCTTTTTCTTTCTTTTCTCTTTCTCCCTTTTTCCACTGGCATCTAGGGGGACTGGAAGTGACAGCCTCTGAGGAGCAACCGCACAAAATCCAGGCTCTCAGCAAAGACTTGGGAAATCTGTTTCTACAGAACGAAGGACAGGAGCTGGAAAAGGGCATCTCCGCCCTTAAGATAATGGCTAATGTTTGGACCCAGGGCTGTGACCTGCAACCAGAGGAAGGAGAGACGGTAGCTGGGGGGATTCGTAATATCCAGAATGTCAGAGATCTCCCTTTTCTCTGGGTAGAGAAAGAAGATACGGAAATCATTTCAGTCTCATTCTGGGAGACCACCAAGCTTCACTGGCTGGGAAGCCCCTCAAGCAGCTTAAAGTAACAGCAGCTGGGATGGCTCTGCTCAAGCCAAGCACACAGCCATTGTTCCTATCTCAGAAGCAAATTCAAGTTCCTGCTTAGCTTCTGAGTAATAAAATTGCAATCTTTTTCTGTCCCCATCAGTACATGTTGTTCAGGAAATCAGGCAAGCCGTAGGAGGAGGCAACATTACCTGACCTACATAGGACAGTAATTACATTACTACTTAACACACACCTTCTTAATAAGGCGAATTGTGATAGAAGTGAGGTTTGCGGTGTATAGAAAAAAAATATGGGCTCTTCAGTTCTGACAAACTTTTGCCAAATCTGGTCCACCGCCCTTGGCTCAGACATAATTTCCCAGCTTTTCTCCTTATCTGCTACGTTAAAAAAAACCTGCTTGTGTTAAGCAGAGCTGAGGCTTTGCTGGATCAGAAGCCTACAGCAGCACCATCTTCAAATCTTGCTCAATCTTGGATGCAAGCAAGCAGAACCACTTGTGAATAGTCTCAAGAGAAGCTTTATTGTTGGTCACCACCCACATTATAAGAATCTCAGCAGCCGACTGCATTCCCTTGGGAACTGTCAAACAAGGCTTCAGTGATTCTGGGGGAGGTCGGGCCTCTGTTGCCTGCAAAAGGACTCTTAACTGGGCTCCCTTATCACCTTCCTCCAGTCTAGTTGGAGATTCTGCCACATCCCATAATGCAGGGGTCTTCAAACTTGGCCCTTTTATGACTTGTGGACTTCAACTCCCAGAATTCCTCAGCCAGGCGCATGCCTGGCTGAGGAATTCTGGGAGTTGAAGTCCACAAGTCATCAAAGGGCCAAGTTGGAAGACCCCTGTCTTAAATCTAACAAACAAAATGGAGGCTGGCTGAGGAATTCTGGGAGTTGAAGTCCACAAGTCATCAAAGGGCCAAGTTGGAAGACCCCTGTCTTAAATCTAACAAACAAAATGGAGGCTGGCTGAGGAATTCTGGGAGTTGAAGTCCACAAGTCATCAAAGGGCCAAGTTGGAAGACCCCTGCCACAATGTATTTGGACAATAGTGTTCCTCAGGGTGCCGTTGCGCCTCCAGGTTGCAGTACCCAAAGAGATGATTTGGGGAGGACAGTGTTAGCTACACTAACATAAATGCTAGCGAGATCCATTAGCCTAATATGCCTTCCAAAATAGAACCCAACATGGGTCCCCAATCTCCAGGCCATGGACTAGCACTGGTCTGCGGCCTGCCAGGAACCAGGCCATGCAACAGAGTGAAACCCCTTCTGCACACGCGTGGGATCTGGGCAGCACGTGAAACCATGCCCTCCCCCCCGTCCGTGGGAAAAAAAAAATACCTTCCACAGAACCAGTCCTTGGCATCAAAAAGGTTGGGGGGGGGGGCACTGGATTAAAACTTCCTTATTTATGTACACAAGACTCAAAAAAGAAAGGAGGCAGAGAATCACTTTATATACAGTTCAAACATATTGTGTTTGGAATACGCTCTTTTATTGGTTAGTATCCTTTGACACACCTGTGATGTAGCATGCAGGCTCAGTGACTTTAATAAAGGTAACGTTTCATAGCATCCCATAATGTTCTTAGTATGATCTTGCTCACACTCAGTGCTATATTCGAGGGGGTGGGGGGGTGTTTCCCCCAGGAGGGTGAGTCACAGTGCCGTGACTAAGCAGATTCTTCCCAGCCTGCAAAACGCAGCAAGGGAGGCAGCCTGGCCCTTGGCCGCTGTCTGGAGATGGATATCAACTTTCTGCAGAGTGGGCAGGACCAGTTCCCTCACCCTGAACAGGTGTGATGGTGAGAGGCAATCCTTGTTTGTCCAGAGTACCAACCCCAGGCTGGGTAGTCCTCGGATTATGTGCTAGCGGAGACGTGGAGGACTGCGGGATTAGAGTCTGCTCTGAGTCAAGCGTAATTAACACCAGAGGACTTCGTGGCCAGATACACCAAAGCACCAGAGGGCAGGACGAGAAACGATGGCTGAAAACTGATCAAAGAGAGAAGCTACCTGGAATTAAGGAGAAACTTCCTGAGGACAATTAACCAGTGGAACAGCTTCCTGAGGACAATTAACCAGTGGAACAGTGGAAGTCGTGGGCGTTCCATCACTGGAGGTTTTTAAGAAGAGAGTGGACAGTCACCTGTCTGAGATGGTGTAGGTTTTCCTGCTTGAACAGGGGGCTGGACTAGAAGATCTCCAGGGTCCCTTCCAGCTTCTATTCTATTCTATTCTATTCTATTCTATTCTATTCTATTCTATTCTATTATTATCTACTGGCAATAATGTGGTGTTTGGGGATTTCCCATTCTACAAACCAAACATTATACAGGGAGTCCTCAACTTACGACCACAATTCAGCCCCAAACTTTGTCGCAAAGTGAAACATTTTTAAGTGAATTTTGCTCCATTTTACAACCTTTTTTGCCACAGTGGTTAAGTGAATCCCTGCTATTGTTAAGTTAGTCACACAGTCGTTAAGTCAATCTGGCTTTCCCTCCCCGTGCACTTTGCTTGTAAGAAAGTCACAAAAGGGGGTCACGTGACACCCCCGGGACACCGGGACCGTCGTGAATCACCCGCCAAGCCCCTGAATTTTGCCCACGTGGCCATGGGGGATACTGCAACAGTTGTAAGTGTGAAAAACGGTCATAAGTCACTTTTTCAGGGCCATTGTAACGTTGAACGGTCACTAAATAAACTGTTGTAAGTTGAGGACTATGTAAGGACCTGCCTCCATTTCTTTACCAAGAAAACAAAACTCTTGAAACCGGCATCGTTTGAAAAGGGACTTTTACTGGTAGGTACAGAAAGCAGGAGAGTGAGGCAGGATCTGAGGGCTTCCCGCCCAAATAAATAGGTAAAACCTGCAAAATAATAAACACCCACCCCAACTGTCTTTCCGGCCGGTTCAGACGCACCAATCCACGGGTGACATCGAGCTGTGCTGTGAGAACGGACCAATAAGGTGCCTTTTCAAGGTTAATAATAATAATAATAATAATAATAATAATAATTAGTAGTAGTAGTAGTAGTAGTAGTAGTAGTAGTAGTAATAATAATAATAATAATAATAATAATAATAATAACAACAACAATAATAATAATAAAAGTTGGAAGGGACCTTGGAGGTCATCGAGTCCAACCCCCTGCTCAGGCAGGAAACCCTATACCATTTCGGACAAATGGCTGTCCAGTCTCTTCTTAAAAACTTCCAGTGTTGGAGCATTCACCGCTTCTGGAGGCAGGTTGTTCCACTGGTTAATTGTTCTCACTGTCAGGAAGTTTCTCCTTAGTTCCAGGTTGCTNCCCCCCCCCCCCCGAACAGCTTAACCACAGAGGATATTATATGGGATTGTGCTGGTCAGAGTAAATAGCTATTTTAGGAATTAAGAACTGTCCCCTTAAGGGATGGCCTTTTGGGTAATGTAGTTTTAAGTTACCTGGTCATATCTGTGTTTCGGATTGGCCACTGGGAGGGACTTCGGATTGGCTACCTGGGATTACTGGCTACGTCCAGGCCAGTGGGGTTTTTGTTATGAATTCCAGCCACGGGAGCTGTTTGCTCCTTTAACATGGGAGATACTACCTCTTTTCACCTACGTGTTGGGTTCAGATTATGAAATGTGCTTCAGAAGAATCTCTCCAGTAACTGTGAGTTAATGTTTAAAGAATGCCCAATGAATTAAAATAATCTGCATGAAACCCTTTCCGTGGAATTTATCTGCCTGTATCAAGCAATAGTAACCCCCCCCCCTTTGCTTGAAACAACAGGATAAATAATGGAGGGTTCTGATGGACTGTATTCACCTCTAAATCCATTTAGCATTTTGACAGATAATGCTTGGCTCAGTGCTGCCCCCTGGTGATGCCTCAGCTGAACAATGGGGCTGGTCTGGGCCACCTTCCATGCCCTCTCCCCCCCCCCCCGCACTTGTGAACGCCTCTATTGAGCTCTCTCCGTGGGCTACAGTTAACTAAACGGGCAGCTTGTAGTTTGGTGTGTTGCAAGAAGTGTTTATTTACTTATTTAGAACATTGTTAGAGCTGCCTGTTTTATAACAAACTCCACGCAGCTTCCAATGTTATCAACTCCGGGTTCCCCAGTTATTTTTAAGCTGGGGGACCTGTTTGTTTATTGTGCGAATGTGTGGATACTCCTGCAAAAAGGGCACCTGGGGGGACACAGCTGGCTAAGATAGGGACTCCCCAGCCGATGGATCTGCGCCCCACTGCACCCACCCCACACGTGGCCGGTTTCTTACTATGACGCCTGCTTCCTTCCTTCCTTCCAAATAGAAGGACCTGCAGACGCTTTTCGTTTGTGGTTTTTATATATATGTGCTGGACCAGCCAGTAGTTTAAGAACTGTATGTTAGAATGTTTGGCATTTAAAAAGTTAAGCGCTGTCTCCTTAAGAGATGGCTTATGGGGAATGTAGTTTAGCTGTTCAGTGAATCCTATACTCATCAAGTCAGTGGGAGGGGCCACTAAGTTCATCACAGGATATCCTGGCTACGTGCCAGCTTGTAAAAGAAAGCTTTGTCTAACCAACCATGCTGCACGCATGGACATCATCTGTAACCACGCTAACCTGACATGGAGAAATTACTTTTACTATTCCGGAACCTGGACTTGAATTACAAAACATCTTAGTTCAGGCTTTCTCGCCCACTGGACATTTCCCTTCCGGCTCTCTTCTGGCCACCTCTGGGCGAGGCTGCAGCTGCCCCAGCCGCCCTTGGGGGACCCAGTCAAGCCTTGGCGCAGGGACCAGGGAGGGGCTGTGGTCCCAGGCCGGTTTAGAACACGCGTCTCTTGGCCCCAAATGCTCCCTCCCGTCTCGGCGCCCTGTGGAGCCACGTTCCCAACATGCGGCCGTGAGGGAAGCAGGTGCCCATCTAGAAGGTTGTGCGAAGCCCCCAGCCCCGCCTCCCTCCAGTCTCCTAGGCGACGAGCTGCGCCTGTCAATCCCGCACACTGCATTGCTGAAGCTTGGCCAGCAAGGGGGGGCTCAGGGGAGGGGGCTGCTTCTTCTTCCTGCAGGCCCGGATTCATCCTGGGATGGGGGCCGAGATGGGCAGCTGCTTCATAGGCAGCCGGGACACAATGCTGCCTCTGCAGAGGGAGGCGCTTTGCTGGTTGTGAGAAAGAGGAGCAGCGGCCGGCCGGGCAGGACAGTCTGGGGCCTCGGGGCATGAAGCTGCCCCTCATCTCTGGGGTCAGAGCACCTCCAGCTGGACAGGGAACGTATCTCTTGCCTTTGCTTTCTGCCCACCTCCCCCCCCCACACACACACATGGGACCCTGCAAGCCCTGCAAGCCCTGTAGACCCCTTGATAACAGCCTCCCAGGCTGGGGCTGCCTGACAAGTCCCAGCCTCCTGACCCCAATCTGAGGATGGGGGGGGCTCCCTGCCCTGGGAAGCAGCCTGGCCACGAAGGGCGAGCAGGGGCAGGGACGGATGCAGGGAACCGGCTGGGAAGGGCCGTCGTTAGGCCGCCGGCTCAGGGAGACGAAGGGCAGCAAAGGGACCGGTTTTTTCCATTCCTTTATGGGGGCTTCTCGGCCCCAGACGAAGCGCCCCGGCTGCTACTTCTCCAGCTGGGCCAGGAAGAGAGGCAGGAGGCTGCGGTGGGCCGCTCGCCTGCGCTGCCGGTCCCTCTTGCAGGACGAGCCGAGGCGCTGCAAGGCCGCCCACCGCCTCCTGGGGGCCCCTTCCGCCGGGCCCTCGCCGGGCTCCAGGTTCTCTGCCATGAAGCGCTGGGCGGCGTGGATCATGTCTTCCTCACGCACGCCGGGCACAGGGACGGTGGGGATGCCCGCGATCATCATGGCCAGGGTCAGGATGCAGATGTTGGGGGGCCAGGCCAGTCTGGGCTGGGCATCTGTGTCTCTGCTCAGCTTGGCCGACATCATGAAGACCCCCCTGCTGGGCAGGAAGCCCCACTGCGCCAGGGCGAAGTCTCCGCCGGAGCTGAGGGGCTGCTGCTGCTGCTGCTGCAAGGGCTGCGGGGTGCCCGGGGAGAGGTAGAGCCACCGGTCGGCTGGGTGCTCCAGCGGGTACTTCGGGGCCCCGTTCTGCAGGGGGAGCCTCCAGGGTGGCTCCCAAGGGTCGGTGCTCCCCTGCTGGAGAGCCCCCGGGGCCGGACATGACTGGGGGAGGCTGGGCACCTGGAGAAGCCGCGTGGCACCGCCCTGCAGGGGGGGAGTCGTCTGCTTGGTCTGCAGTTTCCTTCGCAGGAGCCCCGCGGGGCAGGGGAGGCCGGCCGAAGGAGGGGCCTCGCGTGGCACCTGGGCAAAAGGGCTCGGGCAACTTCTGAGGGCCTCTTTGGACTCGCTGCTGTTGCCGGTTGATTCTCCTGTTCAGAGGACAACATGCCAGCTTGAGAGTCTGCCCCCCTTCTGCTGCCTTCTGTGCCAGAAGGATGCAGCCAACCGAGAAGGGTGTGGGCAGCTGAAGCATAACACTCCCCCCCCCCATTTCAGCAGGTCAGGCCAGATCCCCGGGTGGATTTCCACCGCCTGCGACTTCTCTCGCTCAAACCCCTTTCTCAGGAGGGAGGTGCCAGGGACGCCCACCAGAAGCCTTTCCTGTCATTTGCACCTGATTAGCTGCCCACCTCGGGAGCTGGCAAGGAGCGTAAGAGGCTCGGCGTGTAGTACCCCATGGAAGCAGCCATCGCTCCCCCGCCCGTGAACCCAGGAAGAGCAGCAGAGCCCCACTGAAGGCTGGCAAAATGCAAGTCTCCTGGGTGAAGTTAGGATGGGCACAGCCGATGCCAGGCGGGTCCCAAGGAGGGTATTTCTGCCCGTAATGATTACTGAAGGGAGGTGGAGCCATCTGAGCAGATTCTGCTCCCCGGCTGCCTTGGCAGACCAGATCTTGGGCAACTGGAGAACAGCTGCCTTCTCTAGGAGGTGTAGGACAATAGAATGCATGGAGAAGGGACCTTAGAGGCCACGTAGTCTATCCCCAACCAGCCCTTCCTTTAAAATCTCCAGCAGGGAGGAATCCACCCTTATTTTAGGCAGGGTGTGCTACCATTTAGTCTCTCCCACAGCCAATTAACGCCTTTTAATATTCATTCTCCTTCTCACTTTGACCCACTGGTCCTCCTCCTTCCATCTTTTAGATCAGTGTTTCTCAACCTTGACCATTTTAAGGCATGTGGACTTCAACTCCCAGAATTCCACAGCCAGCAATGCTGGCTGTGGAATTCTGGGAGTTGAAGTCCACATGCCTTAAAATGGTCAAGGTTGAGAAACACTGTTTTAGATAGTTGTGGGCTGCCAATCCCTCCCCGCCACAAACACACCCAGGCTGCAGCTAAATAGGGCGGGCGTCCTCAACCGCTTCTGGTGAGGGCGAGTTCCCAGTTCCTTTTCGCCCTGGCAGATCTCTTCTAACCCGCTATAATGGTGGCTTCCCAGGCTGGCAAGGATTTGGGAAAGGTAAAATAACCTCTTAACCCTCCCTTTTAATGTCTGTGGAGATTCTCAATCCTCCAGGTCATGGTTGTCCCAAAGGTGCTTTTTTTCCAAACGGCAACTGGACTTTCTTGATGGGGTTTTTTTTCCCAAATGTTTCACTTCTCAATCCAAGAAGCTTCTTTAGTTCTAAGTTTAGAATTCATTTCTTGGATGAGAAATGTTTTCAAAGGAAAAAAACAAAGCACCTTTGGAGACCGCCTCTCTTTAATCCTCTAGCTCTGCTTAACCCTCCCCAGAATGAGAATAACAAGAGTTGAAAGGGACCTTGGAGGTCATCTAGTCCAACCCCGTCCAAGCAGGAGAGCCTACACCATTTCTGACAGATGGCCATCCAGTCTCTTCTTGAAAGCCTCCAGGGATGAACCACCCATAACACCTGAAGGCAACTTCTGTTCCATTAGTTGATTGTTCTCACTGTCAGAAAATTTCTCCTTATTTCTAGGTTGAATCTCTCCTGGATCAGTTTCCTTCCGTTGTTCCTTGTCTGGCCTTCAGGTGCTTCTGAAGAGATCCCGTTTCTCTGGGTCTTGTGGTGATGGATCCCCAGGTTGATAAAGATTTAGAAAAGGGTAAAATAAACCAAGATCACGGCATCCGGCCCTCTCAATTCCTGGCAAATAGATGGGGAAGAAATGGAGGTAGTGACAGATTTTATCTTCCTGGGCTCCAAAATCACCGCAGATGGGGACTGCAGCCAAGAAATTAAAAGACGCTTGCTCCTGGGGAGGAAAGCTATGGCAAATCTAGACAGCATACTAAAAAGCAGAGACATCACCCTGCCAATAAAAGTGCGTAGAGTCGAGGCCATGGTTTTCCCAGTTGCAATGTATGGCTGTGAAAGTTGGACCATAAGAAAGGCTGAGCGCCAAAGAATGGAGGCCTTTGAACTCTGGTGCTGGAGAAGACTCCTGTGAGTCCCCTGGACTGCAAGGCGATCCAACCGGTCAGTCCTAGAAGAGATCAACCCTGACTGCTCTTGAGAAGGCCAGATCCTGAAGTGGAAACTCAAGGACTTTGGCCACCGAATGAGAAGGAAGGACTCACTGGAGAAGAGCCTAATGCTGGGAAAGATGGAGGGCGAGAGAAGAAGGGGACGACAGAGAATGAGGTGGCTGGATGGAGTCCCTGAAGCAGGAGGCGGGAGCTTCAATGGACTCCAGAAGATGGTAGAGGACAGGAAGGCCTGGAGGAACATTGTCCATGGGGTCACAATGGGTCGGACATGACTTCGTGATTAACAACAAAAATAAACCCCTTCATAAACTCTCTGCGTAGTGACCGGATGCGCCCAGTTGCCAGTTGAAGGAAAAGCAATGAAAGGGGAAAAGATGCCACCCTAAGGGCTTTGAAGTACAGTTGTCACTGAGGGGAAAGTGTAGGGTATTGGCTTCTTCTACCCCATCCCTTTCTTAATCGGTCTGGCTAAAGAGACTTGGTTTTAGTTTGGGGGGGTTGGACTAGATGACCTACAAGATTCCTTCCAACTCTTGTTATTCTATTCTATTCTATTCTATTCTATTCTAATCAGAGTCAGCCCCCCTGACTGTGCCCCTTTGAAAGAGCAGAGCCCAGCAGGGCACATTGGGGGTCCACACCCTCAAACCAGCCTGGTCCTCTGTGTGACTTGGCTGTGTTGTCCTGATAACGCAACTGGGAATGGCTGGGGCCTGTCTCTCTGCAGCGCCCCACCCTCAGCTGGGGATCCCCATTTCTAGAGCCTCCTGCCACTGCTGCCAAGCCGACTTCAAACTGTTTCAGAGGGGTAGGGGTATACCTTGGTAGGAGGGGGCAAAGGAGGCTGAGGAAGCTTTTTCCAGCCCCCCACAAAAGGCCATCGTCTCTGTTGCAATCTGGTCAGCACTGCGGTGTCAGTGCTGTCCTCTGCCCGCCCCCCTCCCCGAGACCTCCCCCCCATTCTAGAACCAGCATCACAGGGCGTGAGCCTTATGTCACACAGGCCCACTGTGTGGCCACTGGGGGGGGCTTTGTTCTGGGGGTCCGGGGGGGGGGGCTGAAGAGACTGGCACCTCCAGCTGCCCGATCCTTTCCTGCTGCAGGAGTCGTTCTTGATCAGGAATCCTGATAACTCTGACGATTGGACTAAAGATTCACATGTTGAAGTGGCAGAAATAAAATCTGGGCTTTCAGAGCTGTGGAGACCTTGATAAGGTAATTCACAAGCTTGGAGCTGAACATGTGAGCATCACCACAAGATGCGTGTGCTGGTCCAGTATATGGCCAGCTTAGGAATTGAGAACTGTGTGTAGAGCACAGCTTCAAAATCTAAGGGACTGGTTTGGACAAAACTCAGCAGCACTTTTTCGTGCGGCTGCTAATAAAAACAGGATCGCCAACGTCCGATAATGGATATGGCACAAGAAGAAGAAGAAGAAGTGTAGAGCAAGTAGCATTTAAGGGTTAAAAGCTGTCTCCTTAAGAGATGGCCTTCTGGGAAATGTAGTTTTAGTTGTGGTCAGATCTGTATTTTAACTGGCCACTGGGAGGCACTTGTGTTTTTATTATGGGACATCCTGTTACGTGTCAGTCTTTTATCTCTCCATGAATTCTAGCCACGAGGCTCTTTGCTCCATACGAACATGGTGAGGGAAGTCAGAGCCCCAGAGAAGGAAATATTAAAAAGGCAGGAAAATATATTTTTCACCAAAAGCATTTTGGAAAGCATTTTTTGAAAAGCAGAAACCAAACCTGGCCTCATCTCTTTGCCCCAGGCAGGAGCCAGCCCTATACAGATACAGATGTGGGACCATCAGGAAGGTTGGAGCCTTCCTGATGGTCCCACATCTCAAGAAGACAAAGAGAAAATCTGCATACCCCACCCAAACTCTAGGAGTCATTAGCCCCATCCCCAGGGAAGCAGGAGATGATTTTGGGACATAATAGGACTGAACCACAGATACTAAGGCCTAGAAAAGCACTCAGACTCAGTTCAAAGTTCATGCCACAGGAACAGGAAAACTTCCACACAAAAAGCTAGAGAGGGTATAAAAAGCTACTGGCCATGTGCTCAGGGTCTCTTCTTCTTCTCTCCTCTGCTCTTTCCTGAAGAACCATCTTTCTGCTTCTGAAATAAACTGTAACCATCTTCCCTAAGCAGTCGCCATGTTGCTTATTTAATAATAATAATAATGATAATATTCCCGGCTTGTATGAACCAGGATGAAGACTTACTTCTGACAATGGGGTGAATTTACCTTTATTTTTTTACAGCACAAGAATGGACAGATTATGAAGCGTGCCTCAGAAGAACTCTTCATTAACTCTGAGTTATTGTTTAGACTGCAGTGTTTCTCAACCTTGACAATTTTAAGGCATGTGGACTTCAACTCCCAGAATTCCACAGCCAGCATTGCTGGCTGTGGAATTCTGGGAGTTGAAGTCCACATGCCTTAAAATTGTCAAGGTTGAGAAACACTGGAGATTCCTGAAGAATAAATAATCTGAATAAAGGTGTGGCTAAGAGGGAGTGCCTCGATTCTGCCTCTTTGTTCGTGCCCAGCCGCACCTGGTCCCTGCTGACAGGGTGAGCCCACCCAGGGTCCTCCCTGGCCACTTAGAGAAAGTGGGCTACCAATGCCTGGAGGTGCTACAGAAATATCCTCACAACCAGAATGAAATCCTTTCCTTGAGACTGTTTTTATCGAAGACTGGTGACTGCCCTGGATCCTGTCCAGATTTATATCCAGGAAATTCTCGTCCTGACCGCAATGGGGCGCAGCCCTCGTGGCATCTTCTGGGCTGCTACTGGGGATACCAAAGTTCCCCCAGGTGCATTTGGGGGCATCCTGTTGCTTGGCATCTGCAGAATCGGCTGCTTCTTCCTAGGCATTTGCAGAACCAGCCCGTCCAGAAAGACAGGGAAGGGGGGGTGAGGCAGGGGTGCTGGGCGTTCGTGCCAGGCTGGGTGCTTCATTCGTACTTGCAGAGGTTCTTCAACAGGGGAGGCAAGTTCAGCTCCTCGATGGCCAGGCGGTGGGTGATGTGTTTCTGGACGGCTGTGCGGCAGAGCGTCTGCAGGGAGGGCACTGGGGGGGGGAGAGAGAGGTGAGGATTAGGCCAAGGTAAGTGTGCAGAGATGCAGAACCTGTTAAACGAGCTTAAGAGGCGAGGGTTAGACTACCATAAGTGTGCCCTTGTGGTGAGCCTGTTAAAGTAGTTTAAGAGGTGAGGGATAAACTAATATAAGTGTGCAGGGATGCAGACCCTGTTAAACTAGTTTAAGAGGTTAAACGAGCTTAAGAGGCGAGGTTTCGACCAGTGCAAGGGTGCCCTTGTGCCGAGCCTGTTAAACTAGTTTAAGAGGTGAGGATTGGACCTGCATTCTGTGTGCAGAGATGCAGATCCTCTTAAACCAGATTTAAGCGAAACAAAAGTGTGCCCTCATGCAGACCTAGTTAAAGCAGCTTAATACAGGAGTTAAACCAACATAAATGTGCCACTGTGCAAACCCAGCTAAACCACGTTAATACACGAGGGTTAAACCAAGATAAGTGTGTCCTTTGTGCAAACAGAGCTGCTGTGAGTCACAGGAATTGTAAAATGCATCTTTGGGGTTTATTATTCTCAAGCAGCAGATTTTTATGCTACAGAAAGCTAGGTGAAAAGCTCTTGCTATTTTTCGTTCCCTAATTCCACCCCACCCCGCCACCCCCCACCCCGGCATTAATCAAGACAAGAAAAGAGAGTTTTCAAAAAAACAGAAAAAAAGATACTGGGATTCCAGAAAAGAGTGCAGAGAAGAGCAACAAAGCTGATTAAGTCAAACTGTATGATGAATGGTTAAGGGAACTAGGCACGTCTAATCTAATGAAGAGAAGGATTAGGAGTGACATGATAGCTGTCTTCCAATGTTTGAGGGGCTGCCCCAAAGAGGAGGGGTCCTGAATGCGAGAACAATCCCTCACTGGAACGGCTTGCCTCCGGAAGTTGTGGGTGCTCCATCAGTGGAGGTTTTCAAGAAGAGACTGCACAGTCACCTGTCTGAAGGGGGGGTCTCCAAACCTGACCCTTTTATGACTTGTGGACTTCAACTCCCAGAATCCCTCAGCCAGAATTCTGGGAGTTGAAGTCCACAAGACACAAAAGGGCCAGGTTTGAAGACCCCTGGTATAGGGTCTCCTGCTTGAGCGGGGTGGGGGTTGGACTAGAAGACCTCCAAGGTCCCTTCCAATTCTGTCATTCTGATCTAAAGGAGTTTGGAGTCAATGGGGCACCAAGGAAGGCTCAATCAGAGAAAATAAGGGGGTGCCCTCTGAGAAATAGGTTCACTCTGAAATTCTATGGCCCTAGATTGGGGGGGGGGGTTCTACAACCTTGACTTGTGGACTTCAACTCCCAGAATTCCCCAGCCAGCATCGCTGGCTGGGGAATTCTGGGAGCTGAAGTCCACAAGTCTTAAAGTAGCCTCGGTTGCCCCCCATCACCACCTTAGAGCAAAGGGAGGACGCAATCAGTCTCCAGCCCTGGCGTGGGAGGGGCTGCCTAAAACTCAGAAGCACAAATGTAGCCTTGGGGGGGCTCTCCCGTCACCCAGCAGTCACCCAGTTTCATGTTAGCGGCCTCCCGTCCCTCCACATGGCAGGCGTGGCAGTGGCCCTCCCGGGGTCCCGGGGTCTGTCCCCTCCCCCGGAAGACATCACTTTCCAGTGTCAAAGCTGCTCCCCAGCAGAGGCATTGTCTGGCCCAGCACCATGGGTCAGTGAGTCCTCTCAGAGGTTGCAGGAGTGCAACGCCTCCACGGTGACCCAGTTGGGCTCGTTCAGCAGCCTCAGGAGAACCACCTGGGGCCCTCCGCCCTTCAAGGGCCACAAAGCTTTGCGTGGATTGGGGTGGCCCGTGGGCGGGGGAGTCTCCATCATGGCAGCCTCCATTCAGAGCAGGTGCAGCTCCCCAGCAGGTGCGGTCACCACAGAAGGAATGCCGTGGGTGGAAGGATGCCAGAGGCCTTCAAGAGACGGTCCCCCAAGGAGAAAGGCCGTCCTTGACACCTGGGGTCCAGCCCTTCCGCCCCCTCAGCACCCTCCCTATCCAGAGGTAATCAAGGAGAGAAGCAACCTGGAATTAAGGAGAAACTTCCTAACCGTGAAGACCATTAATCGGTGGAACAGCTTGCCACTAGAAGTTGTGGGTGCTCCATCACTGGAGGTTTTTAAGAAGAGACTGGACAGCCACTTGTCTGGAATGCTGTAGGGCAGGGGTCTTCAAACTTGGCCCTTTTATGACTTGTGGACTTCAACTCCCAGAATTCCTCAGCCTGAGAATTCTGGGAGTTGAAGTCCACTAGTCATCAAAGGGCCAAGTTTGAAGACCCCTGTCTTAAATCTAACAAACAAAATGGAGGCTGGCTGAGGAATTCTGGGAGTTGAAGTCCACCAGTCATCAAAGGGCCAAGTTTGAAGACCCCTGTCTTAAATCTAACAAACAAAATGGAGGCTGGCTGAGGAATTCTGGGAGTTGAAGTCCACCAGTCATCAAAGGGCCAGGTTTGAAGACCCCTGGTATAGGGTCTCTTGCTTGAGCAGAGGGTTGGACTACAAGATCTCCAGGTTCCCTTCCAGCTCTATTCTAATTGAGGTCTTTAGCTGCTGAGATGGTGCCCCTTCCATGCCTCTTGAATTGGGTCTCCTTGAAAGTCTTCAGAACTTCATCCAAGTTGTCCTCACACTCCTTCCTGGGTTTGGCAGCACTTCGTCCATCCCTCCCCCCTTCATTCTCTCCCAGACCTGGGGAATTCTGGGAGTTGAAGTCCACAAGTCTTAAAACCACCAAGGCTGGGCACCTCCTTCTGAGTGCTTTTAAAGCCTCCCATTCCTGTGACATAAATTATATCTCTGCGGCTGGATAAGTCCAGGATTCCTAGTTTTGTTCCCTGCTGTCAATTTCACCTTGGTTATTCCGTTCTTGTAATGTGTTCCCATCTCATCTACAGTCTGCACAAAGGACCACAATCACTGGGTAATTTAAGAGTATAATTTGATGCCAGGCGGTCCTTGACTCACAGCCGTCCATTCATTGTCCATTCAGATTTGCAATAGTACTGAAAAAAGAAACTCAGGATCGTTTCTCACACATACGACCACCTCAGCATCCCGGTGTGGTCACATGATCAAAATTGGGATGCTTGGCAACTGGCCTGTATTTAGGATAGTTGCAATGTCCTGGGATCACGTGATCCCTCGCTGAGAGCAAGGAGGCAGCTATATGAATTCAATAAATAAATCACATGAAGTGTTAATACCACTTTACAAGGCCTTGGTAAGGCCACACTTGGAATCCTGCATCCAGTTTTGGTCACCACGATGTAAAAAAGATGCTGAGACTCTAGAAAGAGTGCAGAGAAGAGCAACGAAGATGATCAGGGGACTGGAGGCTAAAGCATATAAGGAACGGTTGAAGGAATTGGGTATGTCTAGTTTAACGAAGAGAAGGACGAGGGGGGAAGGGATAGCAGCCTTCCAGTATCTCAGGGGCTGCCCCAAAGAAGAGGGAGTCAAGCTGTTCTCCAACGCGCCTGAAGGCAGGAGAAGAAGCAACGGGTGGAAACTAAGCAAGGAGAGAAGCAACTTAGAACTAAGGAGAAACTTCCTGACAGTTAGAACAATTAACCAGTGGAACAACCTGCCTCCAGAATCTGTGAATGCTCCAACACTGGAAGTTTTTAAGAAGAGACTGGACAGCCATTTGTCTGAAATGGTATAGGGTTTCCTGCCTGAGCAGGGGGTTGGACTAGATGACCTCCAAGGTCCCTTCCAACTTTTTTATTATTATTATTATTATTATTATTATTATTATTATTATTATTATTATTATTATTATTATTATTATTATTA